GAGCCGCCGGCGCTGGAGGAGTTCGGGCTGCCGGACGCCGGAGCCGAGAGCAGGACGTACCTGAACCACGCGCTGTCTTACGACCAGGCCAAGCGGATCCCCAGATGGGTGGTGGAGCACGTGTCCCAACTGAAAACCCTAGGTAGGGGCGGGCGTGCTGCGGTGTGAAATGCATGAGGCAAAGGGTAAAAAAAAAAAAAAAAACCCAAAAGGTGCAAGGAAATGAAGGCCTGGATCCTCCCCTCGCTTCACTTCGCTCGAGGGAAACGCTTGTGCACTTCCTAGGGCAGACCCGGACGTCGCCGTCGCTCCGTTGGGCGATTGGCGCCGGGTGCAGAAACGGGAGCGTGCAGCCCAAGGTGTGCGCTCGAGGGGCGGGTGGAGGCCAGGCAGCCACTGTTGCAGCCGGTTTGGTGACTTAACCTTGCTGCTCTCTGTTATCACGCGTGTGAATGTCACACCGCAGCTGCCTGTGCATAAAAAAAAAGTAAGCAAATGAACTTCACGACCTTCACTGAATGAAATGCAGGCAATATACAGCCATCACAAATTACTTTTGTTGAATTTACACCGATCTCTAGAGTGCGAATGAATAATGACATAATTGTAAAATGTTTTCTATAGGCAGTATCTCTAAATATATGAAGACTGCGACTAAGATATTACTTTAAAAAACTAAAGGCAAATCCTGTAAATGGTTATAATCAACGTAAGTATTCCCATTGCCTTCAAGCCTAAATGAAAGCAGTCATTTAGGATTGCTTCCCGGTGCCTCTAGCTAGCCAGCGCCTTATAATGTTGTCTAAATGATCAGAACAAAACTAACTGGGCTTTTGAAATTAAACCTCCTTATACTTGTGTGCTTTATAGGATAGGTATTTTGATCAAGACATGATCCAAACTGCATACTTTGGGGTGTTAAAACTGAAAAGACCATTTAGTTTTCTTATTTCTAGAAATATTGTGCTGTAGACATTCATTTTTTTTTTAATTTTTTGAAAACTTGTCCAAGGGTTTCCAAAGAACAGTGGAAAGAGGCTAATCTAAATATGAAAATAGAAATATATACAACTGAAATTACAGCACAATTTATTGTTATTACCAAAGCATAGAGGATACAAGAATGTATATTCTGTTCTTCAAGCTTAACCAACAAATGACACGTCTGTCTTACAAGTATTGAGGTTTGGGGTGGTAACGTTCTAGTGATTAATGCTGATAGATACAGGAAAGAGCCCTTCATCTATCTTCTGTAGTCAATATAGAGCATCAAGTTTAAATTGTCTTTAATATGCTGTTGTTTGCTTTGGCCAAAATTCAACAAAGCACTTCAGTTCATGTTGAAATGCAACTTAAATACCCAATGACATGCTTTGCTGGATCAGGATGAATTTAAGTACTTTTGTTCTCATTTTTTAGCTTAATACTCTTATAGTAGCTGTCTCCCTAAAAGATGAGAAAATGCCTGTTTAACACTACAACTAACAATTCAGTAGAAATCCCCCTGTATCTTGGACAAACCCTTCAAAAAGTTTCATTTGAAGTTAATCTGTTTGTTCGTTTTTTTTATCGTGTGGTAAAATACCTGAAATATTCAACGGCATAGTTTGCAAGTATGTTTGGGACTGTCCCCTGGACATGGTAAAATTTTAACTTTAAAACCATTGGTATGCTTTCGTCTCTTTCTTAACAAGAGTAGTTTAGCTTGTACTGGCATTTACCGGAGCAGTGACAAATGCACTAACCTTGATGATCTATTGAGGTCCCTTCCGACCCTGACATCTATGAATCTAATGTCTCTGAATATCTGAACCTTGAAAATTTGGAATTGACTTCATTGTTCTGAAATTTTGTTTTAGGTGAATTTTAGAAGTTATGGCCTTGTTGCTCTGTTCATCCAGGACAAATTGCATCCACTCAGTATTTCTTTTACTAACTATAAACTTGCTTAAGTACTGTCATCACATTTCTTATGTCGACTTGGAAAAGCCAGAATCCTTGTAGGATGGAAATGGGTCTTCAGCTGGTGTAGATCTTTGTGACTTTGTTCGCATAGTAGGTCTTTGGTGATTTACTCCAGCTGAGGAAAAATGGCTGTCACATTTGTCTGTCTTTCCTCTAAGCTTAGCAGTTTTTGTTAAACAATATATCTTAGAATTTCTCCTGTGCAGTAGGAATAAGTTCAGGGCTGGAGCACAGCTTTAAATGCAACCATTATTTTTTATATAGAGTGAAAAGTCTTCAGACTAGATTCAGGATTTCATGTATCAAACACGAGCATCTTGGGGATACCTGGTGGGGACCAGCTCTTTTTGTCTGATAATGCTGATAATTCGCTGATCACCTAACCACTTAGTATGTTGTTCCTTAGGTTCTGCAGACCGAAAGCACTGTAAGTTCAAACCAGATCCTAATATCCCTCTAATGTTTAGTGCTGTCAATGAAGACTACTTAGGGAGCGGATGGTCACGAGGACACATGGCACCAGCAGGAGATAACAAATTTTCAACGGTAGGAATTTTTCTGAGTTTGTGTCTGTCAATAAAAGGGGGAAGAAGGTGGTCTTCAGATTCATTACAATGTTTACTTCTTTAAGAAGAGGGAGTTATGGTCTCCCTGCTTTAGCTTGGGACTTGAATTAGAGAGTTAGACATTCTAACGCCCTGGGACTCTGCTTCCTTGTCTGTAAAATTACAATGGTAACGCTTACCAGTCAAACCTCAGAGCTGTCTTGCAGAGCTAAGTTTATAAGTGAGCGAGGGCAAGTAGCACACTATCTTCCTGTCAACAGGTATTGAGACATTTAACACTTGATTTAGATAAAGCAAATATGCTACAAAGGGCAGGAAGATCGATTGGCAGGGGTATTGATTAGATTGCTTAAGATCTGTTTCCTTTTTGATCGTTAGTATTGAATGAATGACTGCCTTGCCTTTGCCATAGTTCTTTCAAAGTCAATGAAGTGTCTTTACTTACTTGATATAGAAATTTGTGAGGTGTCCCAAAATGTTGGGCATGTGAACCAGCGGTGTCAAACTCATCTGGCCCATCTGCCTGATCTAGCACAGACAGCACCCACCTGGGTTGGTCTGAGATGCCGGCCCGAGTGGATGGTGCAGTATAGGGCCTGGTCCGAGCAGGCGCTGTGGACGGTGCACACCCAGACGCTGTGTGGCGTAGGACTCCCACAGCAGGTGCCAGATTATGGGATTCTGCAGGCCAGATCCTGCCTGCAGGCTGTATATTTGATGCTTCTGACAATAAGCCCCTGGCTGACTAAGAAAACAGCTTTGGACGTATCTGGTCCCAGTGCCAAATTTGCCTGGTACAGGTTAATTGTTATTTAAGTAGCAGCCTGACTCTGTATTTTTGTCCTGAAATATAGCATGCTCTGGAGTAGCGTAGTGATGGAACTGTTATGTGGGGAATTAATGCACTAGTCATTTTACTTCTAGTAGAAGAGTCCCTTATAGATAATTGTCCGTGTTATTCTGGTTGTTTCAGTGTGTGTAATAGCCTGTAAAATGAGGTCCAGAACTGAAAGTAGGTTAGATACTGTATCTGGAGTAGGTCACAGGTTGTACGACTAGTGCCCGTAGCAGGCATTGTCTTAAACATTGCAACCAATCCTTTACATTCTATAAACACGGGGAAATCTGAGAGAGCGTTTAAAATTATTAAGGGTCAGGCTAAGTACTTGAGATTTTTCCTTTCAGTTTTTCATATGTACTTGAAGTTATCTAGGGGTAGAAGGAAGCCAAGAATTCATCATGGCTGAAACTACCTGGGCCACAACCACAGAAGCGGTTATATTCCTGTTTATCTGTGACTTTTTAAGCAGCTATATACATTTTTGCAGAACTGAGGTCTTGGTAATCACTCCACCATCTCTATCCTATATATTTTTAAAATGATAGTGTTACATTTTTATTCTAACCTCTTCTGGTATGGGAAGGCAAAAACATGGTGCAAACTCTGCAGCCAGCGTAGGAAGTAAAATGCCTAGGAAAAATTTCCTTCTCTTTCAGAAAAAAACTGTTCACCTATTCCTAACCTAATTACAAATGTAATACTCTGTTAACACATTCATTCTGTGCCACTATCTGGCATGAAATGTTTCTGTAGAACTGTGGATAGACTCAAGCTGCAAAGTTTATGTCCAAATTTTACACCTCTACTTGCTTCTAAAATATTTGGAAATGTGTTTTAGGGGGCTGGCTTGACTTGCTCTTTATATAATTACATTAGCCAAGTTTTGATCTAGATCTAGGTACTGACTCGTAACCTTCTTAAACGCTTGGAAGAATTTAACATTTTAATAACAAGGTATCATTTTTTTTCTCTTTATAAAGCAAGCTATGGCTGAAACATTTTATCTCTCCAACATTGTGCCTCAGAATTACGAGAATAATGCTGGATTTTGGAACAGGTAAGAGATCACTGTTGAATGAACTAAGAATGAAAGGTTAATCAAGGGGGTAACACAAATAACTATATTTATATATCTCTTTTCACCCCAAAAGATCCCTTTTGGCATGAAAAGGCACTTTATAGGACATATGCAGGAATCACTGCGGCTTGCCCTTAGACGAAGAGCAGTTATTCTATAACCATGACAAAATGAATATGTAACCATTTCAATTCTTTATCCAGCAGAAATCATAGGGAAAATTTAGGTTGGGTAAACAGAATTACTTACCCTCATTGAGCTTAGCCAGGCCCTCCAGGTTAATCACCCTGTTCTTAAGAAAAGACCCATGGCAGCTTTCCAAGTTGTTCAGCTCTTGGTTTAATTTCTCACGCTAAAGATAGTTCCAGGAGCAGCATGCCAGTGACAGTTTTTGGGCACTGGGTCATGTTTTACCTCAAGGACATAGTGCAGCCTTGTGAATCACCAACACTTCAGGGCTTGGATGTATCTGGCAGTTCTTGCATCCATGTAGTGCTCATCACTTGTGAAAGCTGCCAAGATAACAGCTTTGAGGTGAAGTGTCTGGAAGATCTGTCTTAACCCTCTGCATATTGTTTCTTTTCTCTTCTGAGATGGAAAAATAATTAACTAAAACCAACTCTGATTGTGTGCTTACTAGGTTAGAAGGAACAAGGGTTGGATTTTACAAGGCTCACTCAAGGGAAGGAGAACTACATTATACACAATATTGCACTAAAAATGTAGTATAAAAAGGCATCATCATTCATCCACAGACAGCTCTCTACTTTTACAGGAGTACATATAAAAGAATATGAGGCATCGAGTAAGGTTATACTATTTTATAGATAAATAATGTGCTATAACATTTTAAAGAGATTTTTCTATTGTTTTAATGCCTCAGGCATTTGAGCATAACATTTTCTTGATGCAAAGGCTTAGGCATATGCCATTTTAGAGCTGAGACACCTTTTTACTTTTCTCAGAGTAGTCTAATCAGGAAGACAGGGGAGAGCTTGACTTCCTTCCCTGGCACCTAGAATCTGAAGGACTGAAGCAACTGAATAGCATTTTTTAAAAATGTTGCCACTTTTCCCTAGTACCATGCCCCTCCTCTGCACTTCAGAGGAGTAAAACTAGTGCCACGGTTGCCCAACCACGGCTCACGAGCATGTGGCTCACCAGCACGGTACTTGCGGCTCTCCCAAAATTGGCTGAAGCCCTACCTGTTTCTCCCTGCAGTGGCTTTGGGGGACAGTGCAGCCTGGCAGCTCCCAGTGCTCTGGCTTTTCCTACAGGGAGCACGCCCCGAGCCCGCCCTCCTCTCTCGCCGAATGCCAGCTCTGGTGCCAGGCTGCTGGGGTGGGGGCTGCAGCTGCTCCGCTTACCCCGGGATGTGCTCCCTGTGGGGAAATCCAAAGTGCGGGGGGGAGGTGGGGATGGTCACCTCCACTCCGGGTCGGAGGTGACCACTCAGCGCCCCCACCCTCCCACTTCTCCGGCTCTTGTCTTGAGCTTTGGTTGAGGATCAGATGTGGCTCCCAGGGTGAGTAACTCTGGCCACCCCTAAACTAGTGTATTGTGTTTTATTCAGTGCTTGTTGTCATTCATCTTTTAATGATACAACTTAAGGTTGTAAAATACTTACATGTCTTGCTTTCATTTCACTTATGTTGTCTTCTCCTCCTCCCCATCTTCATCATCCATTCTTTACTCTGTTTCTTCTGGTGTCTTAGTGACTATTTCTTCTTTATTCTATTTCCCCTTATCTGTCTGTCTTTAGATCTTATTTGCTGCCTTCTGTTTTTTCTTTCTCCTTTTTTGTCGGTTCCCCAAAATCTTTGAATACCTTACATCTCTTTTCTAATCTATCCCATCAATCCTTGACTGTTTTAAGGATGACCAAAGTGTGACTTTGAAATCAAATATGACAGCATCTTTAGTAGAGGTCCCTACACTATTTGACTTCAGCAGCTCTTGGGACCAATACGGTTAACATGAAGTGTGGCCACAGTTACGTTTTAGGCGACGCACACATGATTATCAAATGGTTTACTGGACAGGTTCACTTAATGTTGTTTTTTTTAAATCCAAAATAGCATATTTCATTTGTACCTTTCTGATGTCAGTGCTTCTGGTAATCAGTTGTCCTCATGTAGTTTGACATTAAAGGGCAATAAACAGGCTGTAGACTGGGAGCGGCATCCTCTAATTTATCATTTAAGATATACACAAAGCCAACTGACTCTTGGGAGGTAAAGTCTGACAGCATCTCTATTCCCTTAAAATACAGAGGAGCCAAATGGAAAGGAATACAATAGAACCTTTGGAAATGAAAAGGGTGTGCCCAGGCCTTCAGAAAATGTCTTTATTTTAGTCACTTTCGATAACTAACTCCTTTCTGAATAAACGAAAAACAGAAATTTGAGTTCTGAGAGAACGTGGTAAGATGATAGCAGGGCTAAGTTCTCAAGTATGCAACGAGAATGCCGGACCAGCTGTCAGTAAAGTCATTAATTGGGAACAAAATGGCAGAGGGACTGGATATTGGGCATATATTTACTCTTTTTTTGATGCATAGCTTATGAACACGTTGTTGAAAATATGCTGCAAGAACTAGGAACAGTTTGTTTTGTGCTCCATGTCATGTTTTAGACATGTCTTGTTTAACTTTTTATTTTCAAGTTTGCTCTCCTGGAATATCTTGCAGAATGGAAATGTATTGTCGGGAATTGACAAAGAGATTTGAGGATGTTTGGATAGTTTCAGGACCTTTGACCTTGCCTCAAACAGATGATGATGGAAAGAAGAGAGTTACCTATCAGGTAAGTACCTGTGTTTTTATGCACTAAATTCAGTAGTTCTGTAAACAGTACCTTTAAATAGAACACAAGCAAGCTTTATACTCCTAGCTTGATCAAATAAACTTTAACTCTTTTGTACTGGCAAATTGCTGGAATAGAGGGTACTATATTAGCGCTGGCTACACTCTGGAAAAAATACTGTGGTGTTCTGTTATTAAATCATTCATTCTGTTCATGTAATGTGAGCATTTAAATGCCTCTTTATAAGCCTCTAATAAAACAGTACTTAGCACTTGTATAACAGCTAAGTAGAGAGTTAGCAGAGTTTGGTGTACATATATCTCTTCAATCATTCATGTGTGTGTTCTTTAATATTTACATATTTCAGAATCATTATGATGCAAACATGGTGTGGCATTTTCAAAGCCATATAGGGGATTTAGGTGACTAGTTTCTATTCATTTTAATGTCAGTTGGTTTTCCAAAATCCCTCTTGCAACATACTGAAGCCAATTGAAAGACTCCAGTTGACTTTGGCAGGCTTTGAATGAAGCCAGTGTAATCCTTTCTTAACACAGCATCTTTTGTCCTTCTGCCTCTTATTTTTTTCCTAAAAATCTTGATGCTAAGGATCTTCCCTGAAATTTGAGAATTAGCTGTGTATGGTCTCCATGTTACAAACAGAGAAAGGCCTTCAGGTTGGGTGTTAGGCTTCACTTTGCTTTACCACCTGCTCGCATGCTCAGAGTACAGTACATTGTGTAAGTGTTTGTAGGATTTGATCCCTGATTGTTACTTCTGGAGAGTAGCGGCTGTCTTTTACTGTATGTCATGGACAGGGATCCTGTTTTTCTCTGATTTAAAATTTTCAGCTTAAAAAAAGTAACCCCAAATCCACATTTTTCCATGATTAAAATGAAACACCACTATCTATCTATCTATATATTAGTGGCCTTTCATTTAAGTCATAGAAAATGTGGATTTGGGGTTACTTTTTTAACCAAAAATTGGGGATTTTTTTTAAATTAGAGAAAACCAGGATCCCTGGTGATGGGGTTTTAATCCTGCATGGGACTTCTGAGTATTGACACAATACAAACAATAAATAAAATAGTTTTCATCATCATAGAATAATAGAGAAATAAGGTAGGACAAGACCTCCAGAGATCATCTAGTTCAACCCCCTGCCTGAGGTAGGATCATCCATATCCAAACCATCCTATTAAAATCCATACTCTAAACTCTTGATAAAACTACTGTCAATCCTAACAGAAGACACAACACCCTAACCTGCCACAGGCAAAGCAGGGGAACCACAGCACCAGTGTCCTGCTTCTATGAAAGGTTGCTAATATATGCTCAAGAGTTCCCTGGTAGAGGGCCATGTGCTGCACTAGAGGCATTCCCCCCTTGTCTTCCTGATCCCAGATATGGCGATCAGTCTGGCCTTGAGTGGAGGGGCAAGACCATCTCATCAGGAACCTCTGGCTTTGTTTCCAGTGGGAGCATTGGTACACCCCAGTTAAAATCCCCAGCTTTGGCTGCATCCAACATTCATTGCTTCTGAGAGAGGCTTAAAAACACCTTGACACGTGTAACAGAAAGGTGGGGAGGGGGCAACCAGCAAAGCCCAGATTGATGGGAAGTACCCAGAGTAGAACACGGGCATAGACAGCTATGCCTAGATCATCCCCCAACCAGTGGCTGTCCAACCTCTTCTTGAACACCTCCAGTGATGGAGAGTCCATAACTTCTCTAGGCAGTCTATTCCTCTGCCTTGCTTTTCTTAACAGTGAGGAAATTTTTCCTGATATCCAGTCTAAGCCTACTTTGCTGCAACTTCAAGCCATTGGTCCACGTCCTGCTCTGTGGTGTGTTCCCCTCTGCTTTATGGCAGCCCTTTGGGTATTTAAAGACTGCTGTCATGTCTTTCTTAAGCACCTTTTCTGCAAGCTGAATGTGCCTACCTCCTTCAGCCTCTCCTCATATGATATGCTTTATAAACCCTTTATTATCTTTGTCATCTGCCTCTGGATCCTCTCTAACTTTGTCATTTTAAAAATGTGGAGCCCAAAACTGCACACAGTACTGTAGATCAAATGGTGCTCAACCTCCAGCCTGCAGGCCAGGTGCAGCCCATGGAGCCATGGCATCCAGCCTACAGGGCTCCAAATTTGCTGCAGGGAGTGGTAGCAATTAATATGGTCACCTTTCTCCTCCTGCGAAATTGCCACACCTCAAGCAGTGGATTAGGGCTGGGCTCCACCCCTTTCCCCCTACTGCACACCCGGATTGGAGCCAGCCTCCCCCAACACTCCCTCCCACAGCTGGATTGGGGCAGAGCCATGAGCTCTTTCCTCCACACAGCTGGTCCCATCAGGTAGGTAACTGGTTTCCTCATTTCATAAATTGAGAAACTCGGAGTGCTGAAGTGCCCATGGTCAAGTCCTAGGTTTCCACGTAGCTCACTAGTGCTAATTTCATTTTAATTGCCAAAATCATTCAGTTTTGGGTATTGTGACAGGTTTGGGTCCCAGCCATGACACCCCCCGGTGGCCACACAGTTCCTGGCCCAGCTCCCACTCTAGGAGTCCTCACCTTCTTTACTCGCCCACCAGGCCTTTGATCTTATTATTTGGAAAGGAGGGAGGCTGCCTGGGGGACCTAGAGTGAGCTTGCTGCTGTTCCCATGTCGGGCTTCAGCCTTCTCAGCTTCTGCCCGTTTTGCTCTCACTGGGCCCTCCAACTCTAGTCCACTGACCAAACTGAGCTTCAGGTTTCCCAGCTTTTTGTCTGGCTTTCCAAGACCTTTATTATGCCCTCTCTTGGGCTGCTGAGCCTTCCTGGGCTCACTGTCCCTCTGTATCTGGGCCCCAGGACCTGTCTTTGACCTGCTTTGGACCTTCTGCCCCCTAAGTCCCAGTCTTGCCCTTCTTGGGCTCTGGGCTCCCTGGCCCCAGTCCCCAGGACTATCTGTTTCAAGGCCTGTCTCGCCCCTCTCAGGCACTGTGGGATCCCCTCTTGTGGGCTGTATGAGATCCCCCATCTGGGTGTGCTAGGTGTGCTCATGTGGGGCCTCTGGTATGCTCATGGAGGGCCTGCACCCTGCTAGGTGTTCTGGGACCTTCAAGCCATCCCTCGCAGTCCCCCCTCCCAAGACCACCAGGTCTTCCTTAAGCATCTAGTCCCCACTAGGCACCAAACCAAACTGAAACCAAATGCATGCCCTTCTAGCTATAACAAAACTACTGCCCAAACCTGGGTCTTAATCAGCTGCTAGCCCTCAGTTTCCCGAGCTGTTGCAGCCTAGCACACTCAGTTTTCTTCTCAGTTGCAGGCACCCCCCAGAGAGCTCTTTCCTGCTCAGCCTCCACGGCCAACTGCCTAGCCTGGCTCTGGCCGTGCCTTATTTCTCCCAGGCCCCTGCCCCCTTCCAGTCGGATTACTCTCCTGGGTTGCTTGTGGGTGCCTGCTAATTAATGTCATTAGCTTGTCTATAGCAGCCCAGTTCCAGCTGTGCCCTTCCTGTCCTGCAGGGCTGTCTCTGGGCTCTTCTCTGTGACGGAGCACCCCAGGCTCTCTGTCACAGGTATGTCATCCTTGAAAAAAATTACTTTGAACTATTAAAAATTTTTAAAACCAATCAACAGGGATCCAGGTCGTATTGGAGAAGCTTTTTCAGCGAGCAGAAGAATTGTTCAAGTCTAGCAGTTGTTTCCACTATCCAGCAGTGCTGGCCCATGGGTCAGATCCAGCCATGTCATCGGTCCATGGGGTTCCCCACAGGTCTAGAAAATTGGTGGCAAGGGAGTGATGGCAGTTAACATTGTCCTTGCTCCCTTGCTGCCATATTTCTAAGCCCTGTGCACTAGGATCTGGCCCACGGACTGACCTGGCGTTGCTTATCTGACCTGAGGAGCCAAAAGATTGGGCACCACTGCACTATGCCATTATTTTCCAGTTTGTGTCTTTGGCAGGATAGAGCCCTTTTCCTCCCAGTTCATGGAGGAAGAAGACTGTATATAAGAAATAACACCCTCTGACTCTCAATCATTAGTTTTAACATGTTAGTTTCGATAGTCTGTGGATAAAAATAAGTCCAGACTCTGTACTTTATTCCAAGTAACTTGAACCTGACATACTGTGATTGAATAATAGGGTGGCACAGTGTGTCCATGCCCTGTTAATTACTGTATCATTTTGTTCTAGTTTGTTGCCAAGATAGCAGCATCCATGAGTTTGATGACAGCTCTGATCTTTCATGAATGTCATATCAGTTATAGTCCTAATATAAACTATGAAGTGAAGTTCAGGATTGCAAGGGTCTGGGATAGGAAATAACAAAATGATGGTTTCCATATTTGCATCTTACCATTGGGTCATATTTATGAACTCTTGTTTTATTAATTATCTCTTCCAGAATAAGATATAGGGAATATTTTGTTTGCAGCTAACCATACAAATATGAACTTAGAAACTACTACTGCCAGCTACTGGTGGAAAATGTCAAACTGAAAATGTATCTTTTTTGCACATCAGATAGTTATTTAGGTCACGTTTTTTAAAGACTAAATATACACTGAAAATAACTGAAATTTTCCCTGATCTGTCATTTTGAAAATTACATCTTTGTGCAAGATTGTCTTCTATTCTCACTAGGAATTTGTCCCTTGTGCAGAGAGTCTTGGGGATGCAAGTGTTTTTTGGGTTTTTTTGATAGACCAATAAGTACTGATTTGTATTTCTAAGGCAGGGGACATAATTTGCCAAACATCTCTCGGGGGAGGGCAGAGTCATTAAAGATGAATATCTGGCATGTAATCCTGTCCTTGTGTGCCAGGATTTCAACCATAAATTTTAGAATCCTAGGAATCTGCTCCTGAGTAAAAATCAAGAGTACCTTTTCAGCAATCTTTTGGTGCTGACATAAACTGGATTCAGACTTCTGATCTAGAAATGAGAGATTGCATAGTCTACAGCCAGCTCCTAATCTCATTGTTTAGCCTGAGGAAGTTGTCAAG